TGCAGTTCCTGAAACTTTCGAGGATTCCCAGGCTTAAATTGAGTTGCTCCTCACTACCCGCGGCTTTGGTCAGGTACTTCTCATCCTTGTGCTTTTCCAGCTTTCAAAACGTTGTTGCTGTCGTCTCCCTGTCCTTGGGGGTTCATGCTTTCACTCGAGTTTAAGTATGGGAAGAAGCGAAATTAGATGCTTGTATTCAAATAGCCATCTTAACCTCAGAGAGAATCTGTATCCTGTAAATCTTTTGGCCATTCCAACCGTGTTCCTCAGCCATCCCTTCCAAGACAGTCTACTTCTCCATTTTGGGGCTCCCTCTACCTCCAGACTCCACAAGGAGAAGACAAACAACCACAAAACAGCCAAAGGGAGGTGCGGTGTTGTGGGAAAGAGAAATGGTAGAGATGATGGCAATTTAATTTTGCCAATAAGCGATCAGTTTGGCGCCAGTGGCACTGGCTCGCCTGGGGGAGACATTCCTGGCGGGCCTTCGCCTTCATCCTCTCCCCTCCAGTCCAGGAGCCCAGCGGTGGCGACTGCCCAGCACTTCCCATGCCCATCAGCAACGCCCCCAAGAGCACCGCCCGGCCTCGCCCCGCCCCACAGGCGGGTTTAAAAAATCCACCTGGCCTTGCAGGTGCAACTCGCTCAGGCCGTCCAGTCGCCCACCGGTATGTCCGGGACGCCGCGCCGACCCCCGCTCCCCGGCGCCCGCCAACTGAGCGGTCTCCCCGACCTTGCGCTCCTGCTGCTGGCGCTGCCCCTCGTGGCCAAGGCCGATGCCCAGGCCGAAGCCGAGGCCGACTGCCCATGCGAGGAGCCAACGCTGTGCCGGCCCATTCGCCACCACCCCGACCACGAGGTCAGCTCCTCTCGCCTGTCCTTTCGTTCTCGCCCCCAAGACTCGAACAGAATTTTAGAGTACAACCGAGCCCTGAAAAGAGGTGGTGTGGGTGCCGAAACCAGTTTTGATCACTCGCTGCGGGATTTCCTGTTTAATGGTTGTCTTCCTTTTACAGATAGGGAAGGCAGCTTGGGCTCAGAGAGGTTGAGTAACTCTTCCCAGGTCTCACAGACAGTAAGTGCCTGAGAGAGGCGGCAGTTGTTCACACCCAGATCTGACTCCAAAGGCAAACTCCTTTCATTACCCCTCTCTGCCTCTCCTGGTGCAGCTGGGTGTAAAAGCAAGAAAGGATAATTAGGTGTTCCCTAAGCAGCAAGACCTATTTCATGGTTTCCAAGAGAATGAGGATTTAGTTTGAAGGATCTCAGCACTCCCAAACAGGGTGTTAGAAGGCAGAATATTTTGCTTACCTTTACTTTTCTATACCTGCCAGCACTTTCCTTATAGCACCTCAGAACCACCCAGGAAGGGTGGTAAAAATAGGTCTTTCAATAAATTTTCCTTCTACCTGCCTAACAGTTTATAAGGCCTTTGCCAACTTGACCAAATACCATTATGGATATTATAATATCCATATTAAATTAAATATCTAATATTAAAACCACCTGACTGCCTAGAGTTTGATGACTATAGCAGGAACTGGCAGAGCTTCAAATAGGTTATTTTCTGTTCAAACCCTTGCTGAGAATTTGCATTTCCACCCCAGATGTACTGAATCAGAATCTCCATTTTAACAAGATCCCCAGGTGTTTATGTGAAATGCAAGTTTTCAGCAGGGGGTCCAACCAAAAATAACAGGTTCAAAGCCCTGGGAATTGGACAACATCAGGGAGGTGGAAAAGCTTAGTCCAATGAACAAATCTTTTGTAGAGATAGGAACCGTTTCAAATTCTTAATCTAGCAGATTAACATTAAGGCTGGGGATTTAAATGTCAGTTTAAAAAGTGTATATACATTGCTTAGGAGAAGAAATAAAAGGGGTGAAAGTCTGTTTATGGAGAACCTGCCTAAGTGTGGAAAACTTACTAACACTTGAAAGACTCACTGTAGCTCCTGATACTTCTTATTGGGTTAGGCAATACTTCTGGGCATTCTGAAAATGAATTATACAAAGAAGCAAAATCATGCTCATTTGTATGTTCATGGTAAATTGGTCTTTATCTCTACTAGCCTTTTCTATATCTCAAACACAGACAAGACTATGTTGCTTTTTTTCTCCTTTTCAATTTTCAGTTGGTTCATGTGGCAATTTTTTTCTTTTAGGATTTCTGTCATACAGGCTCTCAGTATCTTTTTAAAAAACAAACTCAATCTTAATTATCACAATTAAAATAGAGGATAAGGGTTGTGATAGAAATATGTGTAAAAACAAGCCATTCAGTTTCATTCTGTAATTTTTATTATTTCACTGGGCAGTTGTTTAGAAAAATGAGTTAATATCATGCATAATTAATTCTGAAAAGCCTAGAAATAGAAGGAGCCCTGGTGGTGCACTGGTTAAGAGCTTAGACTACTAATCAAAAGGTGGGCAGTTCGAATCCAACAGCCGCTCCTTGGAAAAACGCTATGGGGCAGTTCCACTCTGTCCTATAGGGTTGCTATGAGAAACAGAGATTGAGAAAATTAAGAGAGAGTGGTTAAGAATCCGGCTGCTAACCAAAAGGTCGGCAGTTTGAATCCACCAGCCGCTCCTGGGAAAATGCTATGGGGCAGTTCTACTCTGTTCAGTAGGGTCACTGTGTGTCAGAATTGACTAGATGGCAACGGGTTTGGTTTTTTGTGTATTTTTCTTAAATTGTACTTTAGATGAAGGTTTACAGAACAAACTAGCTTCTCATTAAGCAGTACACATATTGTTTTATGGCATTGGTCAACAACTCCACAACATGTCAACACTCTCCCTTCTCAACCTTGGGTTCCCTATTACCAGCTTTCCTGTCCCCTCCTGACTTCTAGTCCTTGCCCCTGAGCTGGTGTGCCCCTTTAGTCTCATTTTGTTTTATGGGCCTGTCTAATCTTTGGCTGAAGGGTGAACCTCAGGAGTAACTTCATTACTGAACTAAAAGAGTGTCCAGGGGCCATACTCTCGGGGTTTCTCCAGTCTGTGTCAGGCCAGTAAGTCTGGCCTTTCCTCCAGCTCTGTCTGGGACCCTCTACTGTGATCCCTGTCAGAGCAGTCAGTGGTGGTACTGGACTCAGACTGGTGGAGACCATGGTAGTTGTGGTCCATTAGTCCTTTGGACTAATCTTTCCCTTGTATCTTGTTTTCTTCATTCTCCTTTGCTCCCGAAGAGGTGAGACCAGTGGAGTATCTTAGATGGCCGCTCACAGGCTTTTAAGACCCCAGACGCTACTCAGCATGGTTTTGGTTTTTTTTAACTAGCATTCGCCACCTTCCATTCTCCCTACCCAGCCCAATGAATTTTTTTTTTTTTTAATGCAAATCTTATCATGTCTTGTTGTTGGGTGCCTTCCAGTAATTCCGACTCATAGTGACCCCACGTGCAGGTGAACTGCCCCATAGGATTTTATAGACTGTAATTTTCACAGAAGCAGATGGACAGGTCTTTCTCCCAGACAGACTGCCAACCTTTGGGCAGCTGAATGCCTAACAATTGTGCCTACAGGACTCCTTTATTATGCCTTACCCTGCTTGAACACTTGAATGACTTCCTTTGACCTCAGGATAAACCATAAAACTCTATGTCATCCAGTAGATACCAACTCATAGTACCTTACAGGACAGAGTAGAACTGCCTCACAGGGTTTCCAAGGCTATAATCTTTATGGAAGCAGATGGCCACATCTTTTTGCCACGAAGCGGCGGGTGGGTTCACCTTTTGGTTACCAGCCTAGCTCTTTTTTTCTTTTTTAATTGATGTAATTAAATGAAGTTTACATTTCAAGTTAGTCTCCCATACAGAATTTTTTTTTTTTTAACATACATTGTTATGAGATCCAAACCGCTCACCCCATTCTGAGACAGCACACTCCTCCCCTCCGCCCCTGAACATTCAACCACCTCAAACATTAAAATCCTGGTAATTCTCTTCCTTAGGATCTCTCAGACAGTTCATTTATCTTAATCTACACAACACCTAGCTTATTTGAGGCCACCATCATCTCTTGCTTGGATTCCTCCAACAGTTTCCCTATTTGATAGTCTGCCACAGTTTTGGCCTCTCTTCAACCTGTTTCCCACTTAAACTGGACAGGTTTTTCCTAACATGCATACCCAAGCATGTGATTCACGTTTTTAAAACCGTTTTATTCTCCCCCTTTCCCGCAGGATAAAGTCTTAACTTCTCAACATGGCTTATAAGGCCCTTCATGATTTAACCCCTGCCTACCATTCTGATTCTTCACCACTGTACCCCTCTAAATTCTAGGCATCAGCCATACTAAACATTTAGTTTAACTATCACCATGCTCTCTGCTATGGGATTTGCCACTATTTCATACTGGCCTACCCTTCCCCACTTTCTGTTGCTGTGTTGTTCTGATTCATAGTGACCCTATGTACAACTGAATGAAACACTGCCCTATCCTGTGCCATTCTCACAATCATTGCTATGCTTGAACCCACTGTTACAGCCACTGTGTCAATCCATCGTTGAGGATCTTCCTCTTTTTCACTGACCCTTTACTTTACTAAGCATGATGTCCTTCTCCAAGGACTGATCCCTCCTGATAACATGTCCAAAGTACATGAGACAAAGTCTTGCTGTCCTCCCTTCAAGGCACATTCTGGCTATACTTCTTCCAAGACAGATTGGTTCGTTCTTCTGGCAGTCCATGGTATGTTCAATATTCTTCACAAACACCAGATTCAAAGGCATCAATTCTTTGGTCATCCTTATTTGTTGTCCAGATTTCCCATGCATATGAGGCAATTGAAAATACCATGGCTTGGGTCAGGTGCACTTTAGTCCTCAAACCGACTTTGCTTTTCACTACTTTAAAGAGTTCTTTTGCAGCAGATTTTCCCAATCAATATGTTGTTTGATTTCTTGACTGCTGCTTCTATGGCAGTTGATTGTGGATCCAATTAAAATGAAATCCTTGACAACTTCAATCTTTTCTCCACTTTTCTAGGCCTGGCTAATCCCCCCTGCCACCTATTATATTGAGACCCCTATGTCTTATTCACTGATGTATTCTCAGTGCCCACCACATTGCCTGGCATATGGGCAGTGTTTAATGTTATTTTGGATGATCACCTTGATATTCTTCTTGGTTTAAGTGATGGTGCTTACCCCTGTTGTTCTGGCAGGTCTTTGCATTTGATGCTGGACACAAAACTTGGAAATTTTATGATTGGTCACAGATTACAACTGTGGCAAATGTTGGAAAAAATGACTCAGAACTTATGTGCCATGCCCATTCAAAAGGAGCTAGGGTAGTGCTAAAAGGTAGGTTACAGTTTGTACCAGATCTATGTAAATTGGTAAATTTACATTTACTAATGGTAAAGTTACCAATATTGTTTGCTCTAGTCCTGACTTTCAAAAAATTCCCTCTTTATGTTTATCTGGTAGTTTTTTTTAGCATCCTAAAATTAATCTTAGATACTATTTAATTCATTTGACAAATAAATATTTTTAAAGAGTTAAATAAAACCACTGTATGGTTTTGAGTAAAATGTAAATGCCCAGTTAGCATGATAACCCTTAGTTAGTCATAGTTTAAAATTTCTGCTTCAAATTTGAGAATAATTTCACTAATTATTCATAATGGCTGTTTTAGAGATTATGAGTAATAGTTTTCCATTATTTTTGCTATATTATTTATCCACTTAGAAAATTTAAATTAGGGGCTTAGTATTCCAGTATAATGAGAAGTTTTAAAGACATTTAGATGTCATTAAACTGTAAAAAGCATATTTGCATAAAAGATGTATATTTCTTCCACAGAAGATGTACCCATAAAGGATATCATTGATCCTACTTTCAGAGCATCCTGGATAGCTAAAAAACTTAATTTGGCCAAAGAACAACATATGGATGGAATTAATTTATACATAGGGCAAAAAGTTCATTGTTCAACACCAGAATATGATGCATTAACTGCTTTAGTCAAAGAAACCACAGAGGCTTTCCACCGTGAAATTGAAGGATCACAGGTAAAAATTCTTCTTTTTTTTGTAAACCCCATCTTTACCATATCAAAATGTATTCATGAGGGTATGACTAATGGAAACTCAGTTTTGTGGTAATGGAGTGGGAAAGAATTTCAACATATATTTCCAAAAATTTTCTGGAACCTTTGAGATTCTTACTAGAGGGGTTTTAAGAAATTTTAAGGTGCAAAATCTCCTGTCTACTCTCATCGATATACAACACTGGACTTGCCCCAACTACTTGCCTTGAAGCAGGGGTAAAAGTATTATATAAGCAGTGGGGACAGCAGGAATCAGGGAGGTCCTGGTTGTGCAAGTCCTGCTTTCAGCAGTGCAGGATGGAAACAGCTCTTGCCTAAGAGGTAGTTCTAGGGAAATGTCTGTCTCCCTTATTTCATAGGCTCTGAACTTCTTGCCAAGCACCCAAGGCCCAATATGGCTCAAAGGACAACTCTATAGCACTTATCAAAGAGATGACAAAAGGCAGTCTACTTCCCCACTGCCCAAAGGAGCATGATTAGTGCAGAAGATCACAGCACAAGGCATCTTGCTAGGCAATGTGTGGATAACAAAGGAGATTGTGGCCCCAGATCAGTGATTCTCAGACCTGGCTATCAAAATAACTCTAGGTCTTAAATAAAATTAATACATACGTACTGGGCACCTACTTCCAGATATTATTATTCAGAAGGTTTGGGTGAACGAAGGTTCTTTGTTTTAAAGAAGTTTCATAAGTAATTTAAGAACTCTAGACTAGACAATGAAGTCAGACTAGCTCCTTGATGACCCAATGTTAAAAAATTATTGAGTGAATGAATGATTTTTGCCTTTAAAATATTTAAAATCTACTTAAGAAGGAGATAAATAGTGTAGATAGATAAGACAGATAGATTAAATCATGCAAGATACAGCATTATGAGTACAGACCAGTGAGTCCTAAACCTGTCTCAGAAACACCTGGGAGTGCTTGTTATACATATTCCCAGAGATTGATTTAGTAGGTCTGGAAGAGAGCCTATTTTTTTCCAAGTGCTTTAGGTGATGCTGGTATAGTTGATCATGAATTTGAGAACCATGGGTAAAAGAACTGATATGAGGACTGACATCATTGGGGCTTTATGTAAACAGGGAAAGTTTGTCAGTAGGAAATTCACCTTTTACAAGGAATACAGTTTAGAACAAAAATAGCAAATACCTAGCACGCAGGTTACCACACTGCTCTCCTTTTCACAAATTTTGGTCTCAGAAACGTTTCTTCATTCTCTAGATAGCCATGACCAAGACTAATAGATAAGAGTTGGCATGTGGGAAACAACCTATTTGCCAGTCTTGATTAAGCTATAGTGAAAGGTCAAGGAGGAAGACATTGAGCGAAGACCTTGAGGTAGGAACATCTATTTCCATGTTTGCAGGGTCAATAAAACACTTTGGGCTACTATGTCAAGTTCATGTTAAGTAGTTGGAGGTACAGTTGCAGAGGTAGGCCAGATTGTAGTAGATTCAGAATGTCAGACTGAGGAGTATGCATTCTATTCTGTATTTAATGGGTTACATTTCAGACAGTGCTTTGGGAAGATTTTTCTGTAGTAGTGTGTAAAACAGTCTAAAGGAGAAAGGAAGATCATGCAGGATTAATCTAATATTCCAATAATGAGGGATTTATGGTTTGGATTGACATGATGGCATAACCCTAACACTCAGCAAGAGTTTATTAAATATTTGTAGAATGAATGAATTAATGGAAAGGAAAGACTAAGAGACCACCCAAAGGAAAATGTGAGATTAAATTTGGGGTGTGAGGGAGGAAGAAAAGGTCAGAAAACGTCCTAAAGTTTCTTAAACTGGTGACCATAAAAAATGACTAAACTAGGGAGTCTGACGGGGGAAATGTGCTTTGGGGAAAAGATGATGATTTAAATTTAGAGCATTGTGGTCATACAATTAAAGAACTAGAAATGCCCTTGAAGAACTCTTTCTACACCCTCATTTTCAAAGGTGGGAAAACAGATTCAGATGCTTTAAGTGACTTAGGAAGTGGTACACACCTATTTATAATAGCCAAGATTAGGCACCAAGTCTTTTGCTATCTTGTCTAATATACTAATATTACCATCTTGAAAGTGTGGTGTTAACCATCACAGGAAATCCAGGTGAGAATAAATACTCTTAATGTTCAAGAGAGAGGTAAGGACTTACAAAATGCATTTTAAATTTACTTTCTTTGAGGTAATAATTGTTTTCCTCTACTATTACTATAACCTGTCTCCCATTTTGTAACAGAAGGCGGTGATAAAATGGGGTCCCGTATGTAAAAATTTACCTTCAAAACCAATTTTGCTGTAGAGCTATTGAAGAAAGCTTGCATGTGTAAAGCAGAGCTTCCTTTAGTACCCTTTTATACTCAAGAGAGTTATTAGGGAGAACTTTGAGAAAGTTCCTAAAAAGAGTCCTAAAATAAATTGGCCATATTATAAAAATTTTACCTCAAGTAGCTCAACTTTTTGTAATAATTAATAAGTGTTTATTAGTACCTAATTAAGAAAAAAAATCAACCTTTAGTGAAGTTTTAGGACATTTGCACACACATAGGGCTAATATTAGGTTAAGGCAATAAACATTTCAAGTATTGTTGAGGGTTGCCTCACCATTCAAAATGAAAGAAAATATATTACTCAAGTTTTATTTGACTATTTCCATAAAAGAAGATCATTTAAATTATTCAACATTTTGAGTTGATGAATCTATACCTGTCACCACAAAACATCACCATCTCTAACTGTAATGTTGGGTCAAACTTACCATGTCACATAATTGTGAACCAGGGTCTCAAACTCCTCCCAACCCAGGCCAGTCAGCTAGTGCCAACAGATGACCCATTTAGCCTGTACAGTATTTTCAAAAACTTGTGTATTTTAATGCTTTTAGTGTGACTTTTTACTCTCCAGTTGCTCAGGGGGCCCACCGTAGCCTATTGCCATTACACCTGTTTATTTCAATCAGTTAAATTACATCCTAGCCTCTGAAGGCATTTGAGTTTAAAATACAACTTCTATCATATTCCCTGGTACTGGTGATTGTGCATTCAAATATATGTCTTGGTCAGTCCAGTATGGGCAAAAATATACATTTCTTAGAATTATTCTAGGTCTTTACATGTCAAACCCTAAATCCATATACTGTAAGCTGTTCTTTTTTCCTTAGGTAGTATGAGGCAAAAGAACATATAATCAACAAAACATGTGACATAATACGCAGATTTGATCATGTTACATAAAATGGTATGTGTTTTTCCACAGGTAACTGTTGATGTAAATTGGTCTCCAAAACACAATAATTTGAGTTGCTATAACTATACTGGAATTGCAGATGCTTCTGACTTTGTCTTTGTGATGTCTTTTGGCAAACGTAATCCGGTTGGTATTGCAGCAGCCAATGCTCCCTATAAGCAGATATTAACTGGTAAGAACCCACAAAATGATCATTTATTAGTAATATTAATTACCTCAAACATTAAGAGTTTTTAATGTTTCTAAGTTATCTGTGTACCTCTTCCATTTTTAAAACTTTGTCTTGAAGCGTCAATAAAAATAGTTCGTAGTGTGCTAAAGTTTACAAAGTGCCTAATATATCATTTCACTTAATCCTTAAAACAGCCTTGTGGGATAGGTAGCCCTAGTGGTGTAATAGTTAAGTGCTTGGCTAATAAGAGTTGACAGTTTGAATCCACCCAGCAACTTCCCAGGTGAAAGACCTGGCGATCTGCTCCTTTAAAGATTACAGCCTACAAAACGCTATGGGCCAATTCTACTCTGTCACATGGCATCACTATGAGTCGAAAATCGACTCCATGACATGTATCAACAACAGCATGGATGAAATAAAGGAGGTTAAGTTCTCGTAATTGTACAACAATTAAGTATTATATAGTTGGGTTTCAAATATGTGTTCTAACTTCAAGTCCAACATTTTTGTCACAAGACCACATGAAGAAGATGTTTTCTCTCAAATAAGTGTTTTAACTTAGAATACAACATTTCTGTCACAAAATCACATGAAGAAGATATTTGCTTACCTAGAATTTGACAGAGTAGTTTCATTGGAATAATCAACGTTAAATAATTTAAAAGCAATGATAGTTATGGTGTGGATACCTGCCATACATGATTGATAAGACTGGCTTTATTGTGTCTGGTATTTAATATTATTACCCATGGTATATTAAAAATTGTATTCCTACTAGAATTAAGAGTATTCTGGCTTGTCATTCATATGATGTGGCCTGTGCATTATTCTTTTCCAAGTTTGATTTGATTTGTATCCCACCAGCCAATTGAATAAAACATTGCTTGCTATCTTCTGGACTCAACTTTTCTGGGATGGTTGGCAATTATTTAATTGTTGATTGGTTTATAAATAATTTGTTTATTCTTTTTCATAGAGAGGTAAAATCTTAGATACTGGCTTCATTGTATCATGTCCTAATTGCTTGTGTAGGATTGTCTGACATAAGCATATACTATTTAAAATTTGAAAAATAACAACTTTGTTCTGTTAAATTACAAAGTAATATTTAATCCAGGATTTCCCAAGCTGTGTTTCATGGAAGAGATGATAATTACGTTCTGTCAATGAAAGTTTCATTGTTGCATACATTTGGGAAATCACGCATATTCCATCTCCTCTTGGATATTTAACAGTGCACAATAACATTAAAGGCTCTGAAAAGCCCTGCAGTAAACTTAACATTTCCCAAACTTACTTTTCCAAGGAACTCTTATCATAGAATCTTATTAATATATTGAAGAACATCAGTGGATATATTTTGTGAAACACTGGTAATATACTTCATGGGCTGTCTCTCTTGTCTCTACTCCATCATGAAAAAGAAATTAATGTATAACATTGTTGAGATAATAGTGCTAGTATTATCTTAATTAAATAGTTAAATGATGGTCTATTTGGGTTCTAGTTTTAATTGTATTTTAGTCAATTGTATGATTTCAGGCCAAAGCTTCCTTATATGTTAAATTATGAGAAGATATAATCTTAAGGCAGTGGTGCACTTATTCTCTTAAAAGCGATCCTAGAAAATTTAGACATATAGGGAAAAAGTTAAACTTGTTCCAAAGGCTTGTATTTCTGGCATATAATGTGTCTGTATGGTAATATTATTTCTGTATACTTTGGGAGAAAAAGGTAAATTGTTCTAGCTATTTATTGTACATTTAGAGGAATTTGTATCCTACAGACTTTATTTCAAATTGTTTGGAACATTTCTTATAGAAATAATGTAGATAATGAATGACTTTCTATCAAGTCCGTAACAGTGCATGCATGTAATCGATAATACATTTGAAATTAACATCATTCCCTTTTAAACTACAAATGACCCATTTACTGTCAATACGCTAAAATTCACTTCCTTCATTTCTTGTTTCTCTTTTTCTTCATTTTCCATAAAGTTTCAACTACCTTATTCTACCTCTTGATGAGAAAATCTCTTGGTGGGAAAATATAGTTTGTAGCATTGGGCAAGGAAAGGGATTGATAGTACCAGGAATTTGTTCATTTTTCTCTTTGTCTCCTACAACTACAGATTATATACTGCAGAGTATCAGGGGAACATTTCTTACTCTCAGCTGTCATTCACACTTACAGGATATTTCTAAAACAGGACATGTATAAGATATTCTGAGACCATCACTGCCAGACATGTTCAGACTTATAGAACTTTTTTAAAACATTAGAATCTAGGATATCAATGATATCATGTCTGAACATTTAATAGGCACAATTAGCATTATTTCTTGAAATGTGTCATTTTTCCTAGATTGAATTTTGTGACTTTTGTGCTTCAATTTGATCTCATTGTTTTGAATATTTTCTGTTGTTCAAAAAGGAATGGTTTATAAACAAGATACAGAATTTATATTTCTTAAGGGATAACTTCTATAATATATTAGAGGAATATTATTAGTATTTTGTAAAAATCGTACCTATTTTTACAAATTTAAATTCTAAGTGGTTGCACAGTGTATATTAACACCTTATCAGACATGAAGAGGAAAAGCTCTGATTTTTCTGTCCCTTTTTGATTAGGCTATGAAGACTACATCAGCATGGGCATTAACCCTAGGAAACTTGTCATGGGTGTTCCCTGGTATGGTTACGATTACACTTGCCTGAAACTGTCTGCGGTAAGAACAGATCACGTGCTGTGTAATTTTTTCTCTTTCTATTGTTATATGTTTTACAGCCTGTTTTATTAGAAAAATATTGGCTTCATTTAAAACTATATTGTGAAATATAGTTTGAGACTAAAAAGTAGACAATTTATTTCTAATTATTCAATTCCACGATGGCCTCTGAGTATCATACATCTTTATTTAATAATGAAACTTAATTCTGTATTGTCAGGTTATCTATTTATAACATAGATTTTATTTCTAACAAATAGTTTTTCTAATCACATTTTCTGATTTAGCTTTTAAGATTTGCCGAATTGATAATCTATAACATGAACATTTTTGCACTTCTAGGATCATGTTTGTACTACTACAAAAGTCCCTTTATTGACTGCTTCTTATCAAGGCTTTTCAAGACGTTTGGTGTCATATAAAGTGATCATGAAGTATTTAAAAACAAGTACTTCTGGAATCCAGTGGAATGAAGATCAGCAGGCTCCTTATTATAACTATCAAGTAAGACTTTTCACAAGTAGTGAACATTTATTCTATTAGTTTTCTTAATTGGATATTTTCATAATTTGATACTAAGAATTTTTATCAGTTTTCTTTTAGAGCATAACATAGACAGGAATAAACTTATTTTTGAATTTGTGTAATCAGGAATTTTAGTTCCCTGGGGAGCAATTCAGATTATGCTAACAGTGGAACTGCTCTGCTTGTGCTACTTGTTATTTTAGATGATGCTATAAAACGTGCATATCACAGACAAGATTTCCTTTAATGGTTGACAATTACGTTATGATGACTGTTGCCTTTTCAAAGGGCTTTGGTCCAAAATAGGTTTCCAGCTGTGGAAGGCTCCATTTCAAAGTAGCCTAAAGATTCTGATGAGGCTTTTCTATGGGGAGGAGTGAGGCTGAGAATGGGAGATGCCTCATCATGGACTTTACAATGGAAAAATGGCATTATTTCTAGTTTATTTCATAATTCAAACGATGTGCTATTAAAATGACAAGTTATAAATAATGTTAAAAAATAGAAACTGAAAAATATTATAAAAGAAACCTGAAGAAATACAGTAAATGAGTAGCATCTCTGTCAGTTGTTTGATAAAAAGGAATCGCTACACTAAAGAGGCCAAGAAGTTATAATTTTCATAATTTATCTTTAGCATAATAGTATCTTTTCCACACCTCCAAAATTGTAAGTACAAACATACTTTGAATTGTCTTTGGACTGTTTTTATTAGTTATCATCAAGTCAATTCCAACTTATGGTGACCCAAGTGTGCAGAATAGAACTGCTCCATAGGGTTTCAAGATTGTGACTTTTCAGAAGCAGATTGCTAGGTGGGTTCGAACTGCCAATATTTTGATTAGTAGTCTAGCGCTTAACTGTTTGCACTACCCAGGGACTCCGACTCTGGATTAGGTTACTTTAAAAGGCACTCTAAAATGATATAGATTCATTGCAGCAAGAGTTTATGTTCCTAATAGTCTGATATCCTTTTATAAAATGTGACAAAAAATCATATTTAATAAATTATAATTGATACACATGTATATACCTGTATATCAATTATATAGAAAGCGTTAGTATAGCCTGTGTATCAGTTATATAGAAAGCTTTAGTGTAGAGTTTTCTAAACTTTAAAATCTAAATTAAATAACTATTAGTTAAAGTAGGGTTTATTGTAATCCTGTCTTTGCCGAACTGCATCTCATAGAACTCTTGTTAATATTATACACACACAAACACACACTTGACCCATGGCCAAATATACCTAGAAAACACTGTAAATTGTATGTCCCTCTGGGACATTATAAAACATATTAAAGGATTTGAGATGTCCTGTGGTACATAAAGGTGTTTAACATAGAACCCTGTTCCACAGCCGTCTCAGAAACGTGCAGGGGGAACAGTGTTTCTTAGATAACAGTTTGGTAAAACAGAACAAAACAAAACAAAAAAACAGTTGATCTTGAGTTGATTTCAACTCATGGTAACCTCATGTGCTTTAGAGTAGCACTGTGTTCCATAGGGTTTTCAATGGCTGTGATCTTCCAAATGCCAGGCTTTTCTTTCGAGGCTCCTCTGGGTGGATTTGAACTGCCAATCTTTCAGTTAGCGAAGACTGTGATAACCACTTACATATATAATTTAAAAATATATAATGCAGAATTATAGTGTACTCTACAAGTTTTTCTTAATTAATTAGAAGATGCAGGAATACATTCGTTAAGGTCTTAGAATTCAGGAAACATTTTGATGAGCCTGAAGGCCATTTAATTACACTTTAGAAAACAATTTAGTTGTATCTTTTGTTTCTCTCTTTTATTTATTGTAAAATTGCATAGCAACCAAAATCAAGTCTTCTTTGTTTGAAGAAAATCTTTCTGCCTTATGCTGCCTCGGCAATAGCAGCTGCTTCTCGTACTTGATATTCTGAAAGGCATATATGCCTTAACCATGCATAAATCAATCTTACATACACTCAGTTTTTCATCCTTTGGTCCTTCACTATCTTGAGGTATTTGAAATTACTTAACAGTATCAAAAAGGCTCAAAGTACTAGCTAGAATGATGGCAAAATTCAAGGTATGTCAGATTTTCCTCTTAATCTTCAAAAATAAATCTTTCTATGTTCAGATATATGTTCTGAGAGTTTTCTATTAATAGTGAATCATAACTGTTACTAGAGCATACATGGCTTTATCTAGTTCTAAACAGTTTCAAGAATGGAAAAAAAGATACAGGATTAGATATGATTGTATGTACTGAGTGTACTTTAATATGCCACAGTTTATTCATATACCAAATAACTATTGCCTACGAACTAGTCATCTTAGAAGACTATTTTAATTCCAATGGTGCTATCATAAGTAACAATAGTATTGGCATTTGCTCAGAATTGCCTTTAAAAGTTTCCCAGATGTATATAAAGTTCAGTAAATTATTTTTAGTCACAGGTCATTCTTTTAACTCCTTTATCCCTTTCCTTTACTTCTGCTTAGATCTGCTCCTATTTTCCTTTATTCTTTATACCTTATCCAACAGCTCATGTTTCTCCTGAGAGAGACTGTCTTAGTATTAGACAGAGGCAGGTGGTCCTGGGGAGAAGGACTTTGCTAGGTTGATGTGAGCATAAGATCAGAGGCTAGTTTATGGTTCTTAACCAGGTGTGTGCATAAGTCACCCATGGGGTCCAGATCTGATGGGCTCTTAGAATCAACTCTGTAAGACCTATAAAAGCAGGAACTTTCTTCCTCCATTGCCATTACCTTTGATTCAGCAGATTCATCATAAACAAAATCATCTGTTGAGCCCCTAACTAGGCACACTTCCAGGAACTGTAGGAAGACAAAAAAGTGTATAAGCTGGTTTTAGAGCAGTGAGCCTTAACCTTGGCTGCATATCAGAATTAACCTAGTGTAACATCAAAACACAAAACAAACAACTATATGTCCTAACGCCAGCACCAGAAGATTTTGATTCATTAGGTTTCATGTGGTGTGGGGCCTAGAGATCTGTATTTGTAAAAGTCTTACAAGTGATTCAGATGTGCAACTGGTTGATAATCATTGGATTAGACCAGGAAGAAATGTTAGGGGATGAGAAGGAGTATATTAGGAGGCTCATTTGTATAATCGCTGCTGTTGTTAAATGTCATAAGCAATAATACCTAGAACGTCATCATATACAGAACCATGGAATAACAGAGCTGGAAAGTATTGTGCCCCAACATTTTTTATTATTTCATTGGATTCTTATTCTTTTTGAATGATTGGATTTAAGAAACATTTTTCCCTCTTATTGTACGGAATAATTTAAATTTCTATTTTAATTTATTTGTATAGGATTCTGCTGGCTCTTTTCATCAAGTGTGGTATGATAACCCTCGAAGCATTTCTTTAAAAGTATCATATGTTGTCAAAAATGGCTTACGGGGCATAGGCATGTGGCATGCAAACTCTCTGGACTACTCTGAAGATGCTACAGCTAAACAGCAAACTGAAGAAATGTGGCAAGTCTTAAAACCACAGTGGACATTCTTAAAACCAAAGCTGTGACAGAGATGAGCATCTTTTGAATAAATATACTATCAACATACATATATATTTTTTCATGTTGCTATAGGCTTTTATTATTATTAGTATATTCAAAAACAGATAAAGAATAAAGAAATGCTTTATTTAGATTTGAAAAATACATATTAATATCTTATCTCTTCAGGAACACAAAGATAAAACACAAGTCAACTTCCTATATTAAATATTCTTCTATGAGATGTTTTAACACTAATTAGGAACAATTGTTTCAGAATTTTATTATGGTAATTTTTTTCCTGTGATATTAAAATATATGCTGACAAATCAGTGTTAATTTTTAAAATCTGTATAATTTGAACTGGAAATTATTTGCTTAGAATAGATTTTTAAAAACCTAATCATTGAGAAGTTTGCTGTGTACATTCTTTCAATAGATCATAAATTTAATAAAGCCTACAATTTAGTGTCACCTTGTTAGGGTTATCAAACTGATAACAATCATTTTTTCAGCTTCCTGACTCCATACAGCACTCATGTTCTCTGAGGTACTTGCACTAAACTCACTTAAACCTCCAGACAGTGAGTGAGGAACTAAAAGGTAATATGAAGAATGAGAGGTGCTCATGAAATACAACAAGATAACTTAGTAATATTTTGAATTAGTAGGTTGGAGATACATGCTATTTTCCATTTGTATTTTTATGAAGTTATATCTAAAATTTTACAACAGGAATAACTTGGTGTAGAACCTGATTCTATGCATTGTCATTCTCCATTCCAATTATTCATATTCCTTCATTATGGTCATCTATAATTTACTTTTTGTCAGTTTTCTTTTCATGGTCAAATTTCTTTTCTACATCTGCATTTTACTTTCAATTGTCTAAAGACACTGATTGGTTTCTGAACTAATGTTCTTTCTAAAAGAGCAATTTTGTGCAAAGAAATTTTCTAAACATAAAGAAGTCTCAGTTCTCTTTCTCAAGGCAATTAAGAACAATATTTTGCTGCCCTTATATTGTTGTTAGGTGCCGTCAAGTTGGTTTCGACTCATAGTGACCCTACGTACAACAGAATGAAACACTGCCCAGTCCTGCACCATCCTCAGAATCATTGCTATGCTTGAGCCCATCATTACAACCACTGTGTCAATCCATCTCGTTGAGGCTCTTCCTCTTTTTCACTGACCCTCTACTTTAGCAAGTATGATGTCCTTCTCTAGGGACTGGTCCCTCCTGATAACACGTCCAAAGTATATGAGACAAAGTCTTGCCATCTCACTTCTAAGCATTCTGCCTGTACTTCTTCCAAGACAAATTTGCTCGTTCTTCTGGCAGTTCATGGTATAATCAGTATTCTTCGCCAGAGGCGTGTCTAAGGTATGGCAGGTACAGCACGTACCCAGGGCGCCACTTGGAGGGGGAGGGTGTCACTGAGCAGTTTCTATTAACCCTGTACAGCCCAACACCAGCTGTGACAGAGAATTCAGCAAGTTAAAACTAACATAGGCAAGTGCCATATAACCTCCTTTCTGACACTGTTCTACTGCATGTAAGTCCGTGATCTGGCTGGCACCCTCAGGCGGTCGCCCACAGCCCTGCGGCAGCGAGCCTACCCCACTGCCCCCCAGCCTTGGGAACAGGCACCCGATCCTGCTCCCCAGTGCCCAAGGTTGGCAGGCATCACAGTCGCCCAGACCACTCCTGGCCCAGCGCTCAGGAGCAGGAGCTTCCCTGGCTGCATCAGATGTTTGGACCAGGGGCAATTTCAGTGCTTCCCATAGGTGCTATTTTCCATAGACACACCTGTGGTCAACACCATAATTCAAATGCATCAATTCTTCTTCAGTCTTCCTTATTCATTGTCCAGCTTTTGCATGCATATGAAGTGACTGAAAATACTGTGGCTTGGCACCTTAGTCTTCAGAGTGACACCTTTGCTTTTTAACACTTTAAAGAGCTCTTTTGCAGCAGATTTGCCCAATGCGATACGTCTTTTGAGGTCTTCTTTTTTAATAATATTTTACTGTGTTTTTGGTGAAGTCTTCAAAGCAGTTTAGGTTCCCATTCAACAATTTCTACACAACTTGTTCAGTGACATTGGTTATATTCTTCATAATGCACGAACATACTCATTATTTCTGTACTGGTTGTTCTGTTTCTATTAATCTAGCTTCCCTGCCCCCTTAGATTCTCATCTTTTTTTTTTTGTTGTTGTTATTTTAATTTTTATTTATTTTATTGTACTTTAGTTGAAGGTTTACAGAACAAATAGTTTCTCATTAAAGAGTTAGTACACATTGTTTTATGACAATGATTAACAACCCCACAACATGTCAACACTGTCCCTTCTCGAACTTGGGTTCCCTGTTACCAGCTTTCCTTTCCCCTCCTGACTTCTAGTCCTTCTCCCTGGGCTGATGTGCCCTATCAGTCTCATTTTGTTTTATGGGCTTGTCTAATCTTTGGCTGAAGGGTAAACCTTGGGAGTGACTTCATTACTGAGCTGAAAGGGTGTCCAGGGGCCATACTCTCGGGGTTTCTCCAGTCTCTGTCAGGCCACTAAGTCTGGAATTTTTTTGTGAGTTAGAATTTTGTTCTACATTTTTCTCCAGCTCTGTCTGAGACCCTCTGTTGTGATCCCAGTCAAAGCAGTCAGTGGTGGTAGCCAGACACCACCTAGTTGTACTGGACTCAGTCTGGTGGAGGCCGTGGTAGTTGTGGTCCATTAGTCCTCTGGACTAATCTTTCCCTTGTGTCTTTAATTTTCTTCATTCTCCCTTGTTCCCGAAGAGGTGAGACCAGAGTAGTATCTTAGATGGCCACTCACAGGCTTTTAAGACCCAGACGCTACTCACCAAGGTAGAATGGAGAACATTTTCTTCATAAACTATGTTATGCCAATTGGGCTAGATGTTCCCCAAGGTCATGGCCCCCACAGCCCTCCACCCAGCAATCCAGTCCCTCTGGGAGTTTGGATGTGTCTATGGAGCTTCCATGACCTTTCCTTTTACAAGCTGTGCTGGCTTCCCCAGTATTGTGTACTGTCTCACCCTTCGTCAAAGTCACCACTTATCTATTATCTATTTAGTTTTTCCCCCCATGCCTCCAATCCCCTGTAACCATCAAATATTGTTTCTTTTTGTGTATAAACCTTTTCATGAGTTTTTACAGTAGTGGTCTCATACAATATTTGTCCTTTTGTGATTTACTTATTTCACTCAGCATAATGTCCTCCAGTTTCATCCATGTTATGAGATGCTTTGCATATTCATCATTGTTCTTTATTGTTGCACAATACTCCATTGTGTGTATGTACCATAGTTTGTTTATCCATTCATCTATTGATGGGCATCTAGGTTGTTTCCATCTTTTTGCTATTGTGAACAATGCTACAATGAACATGGGTGTGCATATGTCTATTTGTGTGACAGCTCTTATTTCTCTAGGATAGGATTGCTGGATTGTATGGTATTTCTATTTCTAGCTTTCTAGGGAAGCACCATACCATTTTCCAAAATGGTTGTATCATTTTGCATTCCCACTAGCAGTGCATAAGAGTTCCAGTGTCCCTGCAGCCTCTCCAACATTTGTTATTTCCATTTTTTTTAATTCGTGCCAGTAATGCCACGGTGAGATGGTATCTCATTGTGGTTTTGATTTGCATTTCTCCAATAGCTAGTGATCGCGAGCATTTCCTCATGTGTCTGTTGGCCGCTTGAATGTTTTCTTTGGTGACGTGTGTGTTCATTTCCTTTGCCCGTTCTTTAATTGGATTAGTTGTTTTTTGTTGTAGAGGTGTTGGATTTTCTTGTAGATTTTAGAGACTAGACCTTTCTCTGACTTGTAATGTCCAGAAACTTTTTCCCAGTCTTTAGGTTGCCTTTTTAGTCTTTTGGTGAAGTCTTTTGTTGAGCATAAGTGTATCTAGCTCATCTTCTGGAGTTTGTGTTGTTGGTTATGGTTTGCATCCTGTTAATGCCGTATATTAGGGTCTCTAGCATTGATCCTATTTTTTCTTCTATGAACTTTATAGTTTTTGGCTTTATATTTAGGTTTCTGATACATTTTGAATTAGTTTTTGTATATGGTGTGACATATGGGTCCTGTTTCATTTTTTTGCAGATGGACATCCAGTTTTGCCAGCACCAGTTGTTAAAAAGACTGTTCCCCATTTGATGGACTTTGGGCCCTTGTCAATAATCAGGTGACTGTAGGTGGATGGATTTACATCTGGGTTCTCAATTCTGTTCCATTGGTCAAGATATCTGTTGTTGTACCAGTACCAGGCTGTTCTGACTACCGCAGCTGTATGGTAGGATCTGAGGTCAGGTAGTGTGAGTCCTCCTACTTTATTCTTCTGCTTCAATAGTGCTTTACTTATCCGGGGCCTCTACCCTTTCCATATAAAGTTAATGATTAGTTTTTCCATCTCTTTAAAGAATGTTGTTGGTATTTGGATCAGGATTGCATTGTACTTGTAGATTGCTTTGGGTAGAATTGTCATTTCCACACTGTTGAGTCTACCTTTCCAGGAGCATGGTATGTTTTTCCATTTATGTAGATCTCTTCTGGTTTCCTGCAATAGTGTTTTGTAGTTTTCTTTGTATAGGTCTTTTACATCTCTGGTTAGATTTATTCCTAACTATTTATTATTTTATTTTTTTAGGGACTATTATAAATGGTATTGTTTTCTTGATTTTCTTTTCATCATTCTCTTTATTGGTGTATAGGAATCCAACAGATTTTTGTATGTTTATCTTGTATCCTGCTACTCTACCAAATATTTCTATTAGTTTCAGTAGTTTTCTCATGCAGTCTTTTGGGTTTTCTATGTATAGTATCATATCATCCAAAAATAGGGACAGTTTAGCTTCTTCATTACCAATTTGGATGCCCTTTATTTCTTTTTCTTGCCTTATTGCTGTAGCTAGGACTTCCAGCACTATGTTAAGTAGGAGTGGTGATAAAGGGCATCATTGTATTGTTCCTGTCCTCAAGGGGAATGTTTTCAGCCTCTCTCAGTTAAGAAAGATTTTGGCCATTGGTT